CAAAACTCTCCTTCTCCTTGAAAGTTAAAACCATTTCACATAGCACACGAACAAAAAAAGAGAGACAAAAATGGAGAAAACTGAGGAAAGCGTCGGAATCAGAGTTTACACGACGGCGACTCCGCCGCAAAAACCATCACCACCACCACCGTCTCGTTCACCAAAACCCGTCTTAATCTCTTCACTTCCCACACTTCCTGCCGGAGCCGCCGCAGGAGGAGGAAGAGGTCGAAAACGTCGCATGGTTGCTCAAGGAGTGCAAAAAACGGTTTCGAAAACATCAATACTCGTAAACTTCCTTCCGACAGGAACACTCTTGATGTTCGAAATGGTTCTTCCGTCAATATACCGTGACGGAGATTGTAACGGAATCAACACGCTCATGATCCATCTTCTCTTGCTTCTTTGCGCAATGTCTTGTTTCTTTTTCCATTTCACCGATAGTTTCAAAGGATCCGATGGGAAGATCTATTACGGTTTCGTGACGCCACGTGGACTCGCGGTGTTCATGAAACCGCCACCACCGGAGTTTGGAGGCGGAGATGTGATTGCGGAAGCGGAGATTCCGGTGAGTAATGAGAGGTATAAGTTGAAGGTGAATGACTTTGTTCATGCAGTGATGAGTGTTTTGGTGTTTATGGCGATTGCGTTCTCGGATCGAAGAGTAACGGGTTGTTTGTTTCCGGGGAAAGAGAAAGAGATGGACCAAGTTATGGAGAGTTTTCCATTGATGGTCGGAATTGTTTGTAGTGCTTTGTTTCTTGTTTTTCCGACCAATCGATATGGTGTTGGATGCATGGCTGCTTGATTTCTCTCTTAATGTGTTGTTAGTTTGGCGTTTTTTTTTTAGTATTTATTTTGTTATTTTCTTCCTTGTAATTTAGATCATTCGAATTGAATCGTATTATCCATTGCGTATCTATTATATTGTGAAATATAAGACTGTGGTAGATCTAGATCTCTGTTTAAAAATCGTTTAGACATTGAGCGAAGTATTATGCGCAACAAATTCAGAATTACGTAAATGAAACCTAAAAAAAAGTTGGAAAAAAAAGAAAAAAAAAACAGAGAAAATTTGTTGAAAGAGGAGGCTTTATCAATATAGTAATAGAGTATATAACACAAAAATGTTTAGGAAATATCTATAAGCAATTTGAAACAGTAAAACAAAAGACTAATGTCCAATTCGATGATTAGAAGAAAAACTCGTTCTTTACAAGTTTCTTCTGTTCATTTGCAAGTCATGAAGGGAAATGAAGACAAAATGATGATCTTTTTCAATTCGCCACAGTATGAACGGGCTGAGCCTTATAAAGGTCGGAAGTCGAAACTCTGAAAATTTTATGGACCGATTGATAAATTTTTAATTTTGATGTATTTTGTTATGGATTCAAATCCGGCCTTCATTTATATGCAAGCTAGTGGAGCAATTTATAGTTAGCTTTATTTCAAATTCAAATTGCGAGTAGCTTACATATCAATCGGTGTACATTTGATATTAGTTTGGACTACATTTATGTCCGACCTTGAATAATAACATAGTCAACGGGTTGGTCTATAATGAACCAGTATAATGCAAAAATGTAAATTTTTTTAGCCATACGAGCTTATGTTCGATCTTAACTATCGGAACCTGATTTTTCTAAATACGAAGACACAACAACGTTTTACGAGCTTCTGGTTCACTGATAGTTTACCATTAAATCCAACCATGACATCAATTTGAACAATTCATCAAAATTTGGAGGATATTGCTGGGCATGGACCTCATAATTGACAAATTATGAAGCTCATCGCCGAGTTCGGCCCGGCAGAGTTAAAAGCCCAGCGTACTTTCCAAGAAAACCTACATAAATGTACTTCCTCATTCTAGTATAAAAGGGAGATCCCTCTCTTTGAGTTGTCCCATCACTTTTCTTCTTTTAGAGTAGTACAAGGGACTAGAGAACTAACTGTTTTCTGGACTCTAACTAATCTAAGAGAGAATAAATTTTGTTCGTACATTCCGCCGGAATCGTACGAGAATTTATCAGAGAGAATGATTTTTATACGCGCTTATCATCGATCTCGGAATACTTATCACTCATGTCCGACTTCAGAATACGTATCAATCAGCCCCGACCTCAGGATATTCGCTTACTACCCAGTTCCCGACCTCAGAAGCTCGTTTCTCAGTCAGTTTGTTTATACAAGGTTCGTCAGTCTACTAAACTTCCGAGCTCAACATCTTTTACTTTTCTTGTTCCGTTATCCTACTTGTAATCCATTTCCGAGCATAATATCAATAAACAAAGATTTTCGAACCCTTTTACTGTTTAATAAACATACTATCGAACTCGAGTATCATCAGATATGTCATGGCATGCAATTAAAATATGTTTATGATTTTGATTTGTGAAAGACGTTTGTCTTTGGTCAATGCTGAAGTCAAATATTCAGCTGGACCGACTATGATTAAGTCAAGGCCCACGATAGGTACAAGCCTAGTATCAGATTCTGTTTAAAAGGTTGTTGCAAGCTGAAGAGATAGGAGTAACGATAACAAGAATAATAGTAACAATCTTACTAACACAACACCCACTGAATGTTGTGTATTAACACGTGGCAATTCGATGTATTATTTTCACAGAAGACAGGAAAATTTGAGCCACAAGTCACTGAGTGTTGTTTTCATTGCTTTTTTTGATCGACAAAAATGAGCTGTCATATCCAACAAGAGTTTGGTGGTTAGGGGGATATGCTGACGTGGATTAATCGGGCCTCGAAGACTAATATCCATAGATAAGCATTCTTTCTACGTAGATAAGCATTTGACATTGTTAGAAACAAAATCTTTCATAATTAGAGTTAGACATTTTTTTTACAAGATTAGTCGTTATTTGATTTAATTTGTTTTAATAAATTGGGTTGAAATTAGAAAAATCACTTCAGCTCCAAGGTTTTTCAACAAATAAGTGAAATAGTTTTGTGAATCGGGCAAAAAGCCAAAATTGTTTGGCGTTATGGATATTTGAAGATATATGATTTGGGGTAAATATGGCGAATAGATTATGGAAATGTTATCTCAAAACATATGTGATATGTGAATAAACATGCGATAAAGTTTTTAACTGTGGTTTGATTGAATTCTAAATTTCATGGTGCACGAACCCTTAACTCATATAGACCCATTACTCGGTTAAACCCATTTAATCTAAATCCATGTATATATTTAAAATTATTATGATTGTAATATAGTTATGTTTTTTTTTTGTCACAGTAATATAGTTATGTTTAAGAAAGTATTTTATTGCATGCTGGTTGCACTTGTAAGATACCAGACACAAAATCTAGCACATAAAATCCCACTGAATAACATAAAGAAGTCCAGTCGAGTTGGCCAACCATCAAGAAACCTAGAATCCCATCTTTAAGGCCCTCGTTTCGGAGGATGTCACTCTTGAAAGTTTACCTCGACGTGAGTTTATCGATATATCTGCTATGGGTTAACAACAAACGGTTCTATCTCGAAAAATCCATAGCAGATATATACATTTTTTTTATAGATCATAGAAATTCTGAATCTTTGATTTATAATCTTATAGTGTTCGGAATCAGCCGTTGATACCATCTCTCTCAAATGATGAAAATATGCACTAGAAGAAGACGAAAGAAGTTAACAAGTAAGAGCTGATCACTTTGGCAAACCCCTAACACTTGTTTTGATCATTATTCATTTTAGTTTGTACTCGGTAACTTAAGAGATTTGATCAATGACTTTCATATTGATTTTCCATTCTAGTCGTAGATAGTCCTAGAGTACTGTGTATTGCTATACAAAAAGAATTTGACGGGGAAAAAAAAACAAAAACAATTTGTAGATCTGTTATAAAAAAAAAGCAGTCATGTGATATCAACGAGATTTTCTTTTCTATAAAGAATGTTAAGATAAGGAAAAATAAATTGAATAATTTGCATCTTAGTTGGGGGAGCAATAGTCAGAAAATGATAAATAATGTTTCTTAAGCATCTTTATCAAGATTAAGAATAACATATTTTCACGTCAAAAAGAAAAAAGAATAACATATTTTCAATCGTGCGTCGAAGTGGGGATAATATATTATACAAAAATATATTCAAACAACTTTATAATATGTGAGAGATTTGAGGTGGTTTGAAATAAAGGTATCATATCCGACCAAAAAAAAAGAAAGAAATAAAGGTATCATATACTTATCCACATTATTGCACTTTTCCCAAATCGACATGGCGTTCATTAGTCACCACAACTTCTAACAGAATTCTTAGAACCACGTATCTCTGATATGTTGAAAATTTTATAACTAGAAAAAGGCAAAGAAAAAAAAACTGAAGATCCACTTAATACTTTCGTTGCTACATAAATATTCGAACAATATAATACGAAGAACGAGATTTAAAATAAAAATTATTGTAACTACTACCAATTTTTTACCGTGTATTTTGACCAATTTTTGTTTCCACCGTGTCTCTTAAGTTTACTTTAACTAGATTTTTGACCCACGAAACTATAACATTTTTGAAAATAAAAAATCTGTAATATTTTTATAATATATAAAAGAAATTAGAAACAACAAAGATCAGATAGTATATCTTTCATAAAAATAAATATATTTTATCTTATAAAATTTAGTCTGCATGACACTTAAATTGAATGTAAGCGTTTTAATGTAAATCGAATCATTTGAGATTATAGGTTCTCTCAAACTTATTTGAGTTCACCAAACCCAAAAGATATCGCGTTAGATATAAGTGTGTACATCTTCT